ATTCACCATTCATATAGCACAAGTATACAAAATTGAATCATGACTATTTACCGCTAAAATAATGAAAATTTACAAATTGAACAACATTTACCACTGAAACAATAAGTAAATTATAAATATAAATATTTAATTTTAGAGCTCTTTAAAATAAATAACGTCTGAATTTTGACATTGCTAATAACTTTCTCTCACTTTATCATCTTTCATTAATAATAATAAAAATTTTATTGTATTTCATCCAGCTTACACGTAAATAATTTCCTAAAAACTAAGTTAAAATAAAATTTTTAATCTTTTAATTTGATAAAGTATATTTTTTAATCATTTAATTATATTATAAAAATTTATATTTAACTTTTAAATATTGTTAAAATATTTTTAAATGTTGTAATATTAAATTTTTTTAAAAAATAATAATAATTAACAGAAAAATAAAATAATAATTTAAAATTAATAATATTAAATATAAATTTAAACGATTAAAAATATATTTTAAAATTAAAAATAATTATATAATTTTTATTTCATTTTTCCAAAAACTCTGCCTTAGATTCAATTTCATACATTCGTAGTATTGCTCAGCTACGGCCGATCCACCATCTTATTGCGAAACTGGAGAGTCGAGATTGTTGCCCGGCGCCATTTCCATCGCCCGTGGACTACTTTCGACTGTGCAAGTCCACCTCCACTGTCGTCGGTTCGTACCGGTGGCTAGCCGTTAACTCCGTCGCCCTTTGATTCCTTTGCCTTCGGTAGCCACCAAAGTGAGACGGGGCCGAATGTGGTGAATCCACTTTGCTCTCCTCTCATCTCGTCCACTCCTCCCTTTTCCTCCATTGGCGAACTGAGCTGTTGCTGCTTCATCTTGTTGCATTTTAATTTCTTTATAGAAAACTTAAACCCTAGGCTTGGATGGCAGCGGCTGAGTGAGATGAATGTTATATTTGACGATATGATCGAGCTTTGCCAAATATCTTCCTCCCAGGAAGAAATCCTTCGTCAATGTTCTTTGGTCGAACGCAACGACGGAGCGCCGCTAAGCTCCGATGGAATCCTGGTGGCTTCCACCGGTATTGCGATGGCGTCGCTCCCGGAGACGGCTGAAGACACCGCCAAGGATAAGGGTTCCCAAGAAGTTTTTCACACCCCGCCTGAGCAGCAATCGTCACAGTCCGCATCCGACGGCCATGGGCAAATCCATAAGGCTGTTGAGACTGATGATGAAATCCAGGGTTTTTTTGATTTCAGTGAGTGTGCTGAAGCCGCAGAGTGTGTTGATTTGAGGGACGATTCGGAATTAGGGTTTCCACAAGGCAAGTTAAACCAGAGGACTGAGCGCACATTGGTGGCTGAATGCTTGGATGGTAACGATGGAGCTCGTGTAATCGAGATTTCCAGATCCGAAGTAGACAACTTTCGGATTTCAAAGAGGGTAATGCCTTCAAACGATAGTTCAGGTGAGTCGCCTCCTAAAAAAGTGAATAATTCGAAGCAAAATGCAGGTTTTGAATCTTCACAGGCTTGTTTCGGGTTTGAGCAGCATTTGGAGAATCACGAAAGGAATATAGTGTCTGACTCTAAATGTCTCTGCAACTTTGGGGCTATTCCCCAACCTGAACAAAACTTTCAAATTGGCAAGGAAATCCGTCTGGGAGTGGGCGACAAGAAAAATCATTCTGTAGGAATTTCAGTTGAGAAAAACTCAGGCTCTAGTGAGAATCTGGGAGGATCTGATGCTCCATTGGAGATAGAAAAAAGTGTGACGCCATGTGTTGAAAATATGGGAAGCGAAGAGGAGAATTATGAAGCTGAGGATTTGCTACGCACTGGTGAAGGCAACAAGCAAGCGAATGAAGTTGCTGAAACTTTTGAGAGGGAGAAAGGAGGTGACGAGCAACCAGAATCGAGTGTTCTACCTTCCTCAGCCGGTGCACTTTCGAAGAATATAGCTAAAATAAGGAAGGAAAATGAGAATGGTAATAATTTTGTTTTTGATATATTGAAAGCTCTTACAAAGGAGAGCCCTATGGATGATTGTCTAGACAATGTTAGTTTTATGGATCTTTCAACTAGTTGTGGCTTCAATTTTCCCCGTCCATATTGGTGGAAGGAGAATGACAGCGAAAAGAATTGAATACTACAAAACGGAGTATGCAAGGCAGTTCAGTGGGTAAGGAAATGGGACTCTTTTAATTATGTACTACTGTGACTTTGAATGTGCAATGCAACTTCTGTATATTATTTTGACATCCTCTGTGTCGTAATCAGTAGTTCTCTTTTAACATTTTGTTTTTTAAAATGATTATTATATGTTGTTTGTGACAGGATGTATTACACTAGATATTCAAAATCTTTGCGTCCTCAGTAAAAAAATACAAAAGTGAATCACAGAAATGGAAATGCAAAGTAGGTCTGAGTTTTGTTCAGAGGTGTGGGGAAGGGGAATGTAACATAGAAAACTACCAAAATAAAATAAAGTTAGAAATAGTTATAACTCCTGGACTGTGCATTGAGAAGGTGAACCAGAGAGTGAACATGGTTCTGGAAATCTTCATTGCGTCTGTGTCATTTCTTGATCCAATTAGTTTCATGATTTCTTTTATTTTGATCCCTTGCAAGGATCTCCTTCACATAATTTATCGAAGAAGAGTATCCTGCTGTTACTGGGGTTTGTTCCGTTGTTCTTAAAATTGCTTTGATTATGGTATATGGTTTTTGTAAGCAGGGTATCATCAAGAGTACTTAGTAGTCTAGCAGCCATGCTGGATTTTGCCTACTTATATTATTCACTTGTCATGTTCTGTTGTTTTACAACGAAAATAAGTCTTATCTCATTAGATGAGGTGGTCAGCTACATAAATTGTTCAATGCTATTGTATTCTATCAATAATCAAGCTATTTGAATGTATTATTACCAAATTGTCTCATTCAACAGCTTTCTTGGGTATTCTCTTTGCATTATAATATGAATTATGAAGTGTTGTCTTAGTTTGGCATAAAAAAATGTGGTGTCTAATGTGCTTGGTTCCTTTTGAGATTGCAGAAGAGCGATTTAACAATTGTTTTCCACATAAGAGCTGTAGCATCGAATTTTAATCTGTGTTTCGGCCCAAAAAAAAAAAAAAAAATCTTTGTGCTCGGCCATCACTAGTAGCAGTTGTATGCCCTTGCATTCTTTTTTCCTATTAATAACTAATGTTTCTGATTAAGTATTGAATCTATAAATAATATGAAGGGTTCGACCTACAAATAAGATGAGATGAGAACAAAACTTCTATTTGTTTTTTATTGACTTTTATCGACCGTTGGATAATATTGCATTGCTTTAAATGTTGAAGGAGAATATAATATTATGAAAAAACTTTAAAATACTAAACGCTTTTTGTCCAAATATTGAAGGCAAAAATGTTGTTAAACTCAATTATATAGACACCAAAAAGAATATATTTTATAAGGTCTGTGTTGATTATCGTTAATATTTTTAACTTATTATTTTATTCAATGGCTCTTTATGTTCATCGGGGAGAAGATTTCACTGTTTGACAGACATTTGTCTCTTGCTTAATTATTTTAATTACAAGTTGTGTACATCAGTATTATTATTATTTTCAAATAATCCGAATTTATAATAGATTTTGTAATATATATTGCTTATTTGCATCAACTTTTCTTTCTTTATTTTAAGATTTGAACTCAAAACTTTAAGATAAATTAATTTAATTTTCTCTATAAGTTGAACTAAACAACCCTCCATGCATTTTATCCATTCTTATGAACTCTAATTTAAGAAATCATTTTCTTTTTGGTAAACAGGAAATCATATTTAAATTACAACAAATAAACCATTGTCTCTCTCGTGGCCAAAAAAAAAAAAAACAAAAAGAAAAAACTTTGGTTTTCTTTATTTTTGATTGGTTTTATTGACTTTTAATATTATATTAATACTAGTATTATAAAAAAGGTTCGAGTAAGTTTATTGAATATTGAGATTTAAATAAAGGAAAACATTTATATATTTAATTTTATATACTTAATGAGTATATATAATTAAATTATATTTAAGGTATTTATATTCAATTAAATTAAACTGTGCGAATCTTTTATTAATTATTATTTTATAATAACTTCTTATTATTAATTAAACTAATATATTAAGATATATATATATATATCATTTAATTAAATATAATATATGGAAAATTATAATAAAATCTTTCTGAAATAAACAAATAATAATTTGATCTTTCAAAATGTCATAATTCTCTTAAAATCTTTAAGAACATTTTTGTTATTAACAAATTTATATAAGTTATCAAATTATTTTTGTTAAAAATAAATGATTCACAACTTTTCTTTTAATATTTGCAACTTTCTTTTTCTTAAATTTACAATAATGCAATATCAAATTATAACTTCGCATGTTAAATTTTTTATTTTTTATTACATTATTATGAATATAAAAGTGAAAGTTGTAAATATAAAAAGAAAAGTTGTGAATCATTTATTTTTAACAAGAAAAATTTAGTAATTTATATAAATTCATTAATAACAAAAAAAATTTCTAAAAATTTTAAGAGAATTATGATATTTTGAAAGATTATTGTCATTTATATATTTCAAAGAGATTTTATTATTATTTTTCCTAAATATATTAAATATATGAAGTTAACTCGATAAATTTTAGGGTAAACATAACTTTTGATCCCTATACTTTACTTGTATTTTGCTTTCGATTCTTATACTTTTTTTTAGTTTTTTAAGTCTTTATATTTTTATTTTTTATTATTTTTAGTCTTTTTATAATTAAAATATAAAGATCTTAAAAGGATTCAAAATAATAAAAAATAAAAATATAAGAATATAAAATATTAAAAAATATAAAAATTAAAAATAAAATTTAAATACAATATAAATATCAAAAGTTATGTTTTACCTAAATTTTAACATTGAATAAACCCGTTTACTTGTTTATCGAGGACTTCAGTCAGTCCCAAGGTATTGTTACTCATCGATCTTTGTTTGGTTCTCGTTCTCGACGAGACATGCTTAGAACTCACAATGAGAAGGATCTCGAAAGCTCAGAAGTGGTAATCCAAAAGCCCATCTTTCCTTCCTTTCTCTTCCCTCTATTCTCTTTCGATTCCGAACGGCCGGGACGGGACTCTCACTGACCTTGCGGCGGCATTGCACTGTGACATAACATCTCTGTTGACGGTAAGCATCACCTTCTGTCTCAATGCCCACTTTGAAGCATATTTGAAACGCGCGAGAGATTGATGATTCGTGGCCGTTTGGATTGGATCCTATCGCTTCGAAATGGAAATAAATCATAATAAATACGATCATATACATAACTTGATCTCCTCCTTTGAACTACTTCTCATATATACCCTCCTGGGTCTGATAGCCTTTTGTGAATCTGCTGTTGAGGGAAAGGTCTAAGATAGTGTGATTGGTGTTCGTATAGAGATGAACGTGTTTCTGGAATGTGAATATTTGTGTTTTATTTTTCCCTGAAACTTTGGAGTTCAATGAATATTTGTGAAGGTTTTAGCTGAATATATGGCGGCATCCCATCGTGATCATCCCATGACATCGGGTTTTTTCTCCGCGAAAGACATTATTTGTTAATTCCAAATTGCAGTAGGAGTTGGCATAATTAAGTTTGGCGTCTTTCAAAGATAAAAGTCCATACTTTTGGGGCAGGCGCATCTTAAAGCAGCATCCAAAGAATGCTTCATCTATGGAAATTACTTTTGCTCGCAGTGTCTTTCATACTTTAAATTAGATCCTTTGATTCCTTGATGATATGATCCTTATTTCATTGCTCTCGTGGAAGTGTAGTCAATATGTCATTATTCGGTCGCTCTTCCCTCAACAGTGACTTCTAGGTGAGAATGAGAGAGTGTGATGTTGGCTTAAGGTCTTGAAAAGGGGATGGCTTATGTGCCATCAAGACCTCCTTACATGTGTGTGGAAATCCAGCCTGTCGGAATTCCCATTTTTTATAGGCAACTTTTTCCACAACTAGAAGGAAAGTAAGGGGACAGATGCTGCATATTATATTGCCAAATTTTCAAACAATAATAAAAAATAATATTAGCGGCAGTTTATTATCAGTTAGTTGGATGCATTCTGATTCTTTCATCAGTTTTTGCCAATCTTAGTCTTTGGATGACAATATGAGATTCAGAATTACGGACTGCTATTTTGTTGAGACTTTTGATACTCCAATCGTGGTAATATTGATTGTTCTTAAGAGGAAATATAAGTGCTTAAATTTTTATACTTAATATATTTTTTTCCATCCAAATTAAAACAAGTGGAATTTAAATTTAATCACAATAAGTTATGACTGTGAAACAAAAAGAGCTAGTTACAGGATAAGTTATGCATAAAAGAAAACCTAGTTGGAATTTGATCAGAAAATAGTGCTTTAAGTATATATTCTTAAGTTTTTCCTTCTTTTTTCCTTTTTATTTTCTTAACTTGTCAGATTTTTTACAATCGTTTTCTTTAATTGTTCAAATTTCATGGTCTTTTACTTTTCTTAGACTGCAGTTTTGCTAAGTGGACTGAGTCTTGCACATCACGGCAAAGTGGATGGGTTGTTATGGAGTTTTGTTAGAAAGTAATACTGGTAAATTGTGAAAGGCGGTAAGAACATGGCTTCACCTAGTAAGGCTGACAAAAAAGCAGCTGTTGATGCAGCTGCATGGATGTTCAATGTTGTCACTTCTGTTGGAATAATCATTGTAAACAAAGCTTTGATGGCAACTTATGGCTTCAGTTTTGGTAAGTTTTCATTCCACTTTCTTTACAATGCTCTGTTAATGTTCTGAGTGGCCTTTTTTCTTTTTTTTAATGGGAAGGGATGGTCATTCTTTCAAAAGAATCAAGGAATACAACTGTAGGAGAGAGTCATAATAGAAAAAGAAAGTTGCCTTTTGTGTAGTCTTTTTCTTAATATGGTCTTCCTCCATTGCCTGCAGCTACAACGTTAACTGGTCTGCACTTTGTCACAACAACTTTGATGACAGCTGTACTCAAGTGGCTGGGATACATCCAACCCTCTCATCTACCTCTCTCAGAGCTTCTGAAATTTGTTCTCTTTGCTAACTTCTCTATTGTTGGAATGAACGTTAGCCTAATGTGGAACTCAGTTGGATTCTATCAAGTGAGTTGGCCTGAGTTTTAACCGTTGGTCCCTTAATGGCTTCAGAAGTTATATTGATTCTTTAAACTTTGGCAGATTGCAAAGTTGAGTATGATCCCTGTATCTTGCCTATTGGAAGTTGTTTTTGACAAGATGCGGTACTCAAGAGACACAAAACTGAGCATAGGTCTTGTGCTATTGGGTGTTGGCGTATGCACTGTTACTGATGTCAGTGTTAATACAAAAGGATTCATTGCTGCCTCAATAGCAGTATGGAGCACATCTCTGCAACAATATGTATGTGCTGCAGTCCTTTGCATGACAGATATTGCATCTCTTCAAACCTTTGTGGCAGACTTAAGTAGAAAACGGACTCATTCACACAAACTCTATCATGGACAGGTTTACTGAGAGGGGCATACTAAATGATAAATAATTGTATGAAATTTGATTTCTTTCTGGATATAGCTGCTTCATTAAACTCAAAAGAAGTCTCTGCCTAATGCCTATAACACTGTATAAATATAGTTTCTACACATCAAAATATCATTGGAGTTTTTTTTTTTCCCCCTTAAATCTGTTATCCCTGCCCAGTTAACTGGTCTTAAAGTGCTTTAATCTGAATTAGTTTTAATGTATTGCATTTTTTTAAAACTGTTCTTACTCATAGACGTTCAACTCTTTCATATGCAGTATGTTCATTTTCTACAACGGAAGTATTCATTGAGTTCTTTCAACCTATTGGGACACACAGCTCCTGCACAGGCTGGAACACTGTTGTTATTAGGCCCCTTTCTTGATTATTGGTTGACAAACGCAAGAGTTGATAAGTACAACTATAACATAGGCTCTTTGGTAAGTTTTGATTCGCGAAATCAAATATTATATTTATATCTTATTGGTTTCCTTTGAGAAATTGAGAGGATGCATGTGTAAAAATAAATGTACATGTAGCTTATCCTCCTTTGATTTCTTTGATATTGCCACTGCATAAGTTATTTTGCCAGCGCCTGTTTAACTGAACATAAAGGTGATGGCTTTCCACTATTGGCTATGCGCATGCACATTGATTTTTGTAGCTCAATGGAATGTTTCCGTATTTGAAAATGAAATGAGACATTGGAAGTTAAAACTTATCCAGATAGGTGTTCTTTTCTTTTGGCTGAGTTGCTACTATATCACTTTTTTAAAATATTAACTTTTAAATAAATTTTTTAATTCTTTTTACCAATGGAATAAAAAGGATTTTGAAAATGAAAAATGACTTTTGTGTCCCTATCTGTATGTATGATCTTTAGCTTGTTCTCAGATTCCATGTGATACATGGGATCCACTTGTCTAGTTTTAAGAAACAATAGAAAAAGATGGTTCAAAACCTATTAATAACAAGAAGATGACAGACATCACACACACACGCACGCACACACACACACACAAAAAGAAGAAGAAGAAGAAGAAGAAGAAAGAAAGAAAGAAAGAAAGAAAGAAAGAAAGAAAGAAAGAAAGAAAAAAAGAAAAGAAAGAAAGAAAACAAAAGATAATCCCTTTCTTCCTCTACGGAGTGGATCACTAACTACTTCATTTCTCTTTGTTTTGGCAGCTGTTCATATTTCTGTCATGTAGCATTGCAGTTGGGACCAACCTTAGTCAATTTATCTGCATAGGCAGATTTACTGCTGTTTCTTTTCAAGTACTTGGTCACATGAAGACAATACTTGTTTTAATCTTGGGATTCATCTTCTTTGGGAAGGAGGGTCTCAATTTGCAAGTAGTTCTGGGGATGATTATAGCTGTGGCTGGGATGGTTTGGTATGGCAACGCCTCATCGAAACCTGGCGGAAAGGAGCGGCGGAGTCACTCTCTCCCTACAAACAAAACAGGAACATAGTTGAACAGAATCCACTGATTTTGGTGAGTAATTCATCAATTTTCTTTGTTTGTTTGTTTGTTTGTTTTTTTTTTTTTTTAAAGCTGAGAACACACGAAGGTAGGTTTTTGTAGGAGAGTATTTAATTGAATGAAACACTTATTGTTTATCATTATTTTAGCGTCATTTTGTCATTCTTATAGTTTAATTTCTCGTTCTAGATCAAGAGGAGCAAGTGGATGTATCTGCTTCATAATCAAAAGAATATATTTATATTGTGTCTTGACCAATCCCTGTAATTCAGTCTGTTCTGTTAGTGTGTCCACTTGAAACTCATGAAATGGTTTTGCCGATTCATGAATGAAGCACACGAATGCATCATGCAGGTTCATATTGTTACGCTGATACTGACATATTTGCTTTTGTATTATTTTTTGTATTCTGGTTAAATTTTAATTGATTAAATAATTAATTCTACAAAGCAAAATTGAGAGAGTTTCGTAATTTCTTAACTTGTTAGAATTTACGACTATAACCAATTCAGAACTATGTCATATACTTTAGGGAAAATATCACTCCACATCCCTATGTTTTGTTTTAGTTCAATGTAGTTTATTTTCACAGTTTTCTATTCCTTTTATTTGTTCTATTTTAAAAGTTAGTCTTTTTATTTTGAGAAAACTCTGAACGAACATCGGTCGGTCCAAACAGTGTTAACTTTGCTAAGGTCCAATGCCTTTATGCTTCTGGAATGCCCTTCAGCCTCTAATGAAGTTGGATTCCTTTTTCTATTTTTTTAATCTGACCAAATTTTTAATCAGACAATCCTATAAGCTTTTTCCAGGTCAGCATGTTTTTTTCTTAATTATCCAATATGTTTAATATTGCTAAGTCTATTTTAGCAAAATTAACACCATTTGGGCCATATCATAGTTATTCAGAGTGTTTTTCAATTTTTCAATTTCAAAGTATAAGGACTAAAATTTCAGATGAAGTAAATACGAGGAATATGAAACTACAAAAAAAAAAAAACAAAGCTATAAGAATTAAAAAGAAAACGGTGTTAAAATGTAAGAAGCTATAGTACCATGTTACTATTTTCTATGATTTATAACTACGTTTTTTGAATTTATAATTGAAGGAATCACAATCCAAACTTGATTTCTGTCAACTAAACAACTCCATCCCAAAAAAAAAAAAAAAAGGCATCAACTTTTACATGAAAATGTAGAGAAGAGATTCAAACACTCATTTATTATTTTTACAAAGTATCACATAAATATAAAGATTACATAATTTCTTTCTGAGACGTAGCTCTTACGTAATTTCTTTCATATATGGTGTATATAGTGGCGATAAGTTTTAAATTTGTTGTATAAAGTTGTAGCGAGATACATATAAAGGTTGAAATAAGCTTATTTGAGTGTTGTGTGAAAACAAAGACTATATTTCTTTCATTCCCTTCTTGATTAAAGCAGCCACACCATCATATGCTTTAGCCCATGCATTGTTCAGATCCTCACTCCATTTTGCTCCTGCAGCTTCCTTCACTGTTTTTAACAGTGCCCCTTTCACCACCTAATCAAATTCAAATAACCTTCTCATTGAGCTTAAACCAAAAACAAAAAAAAAAAAAAACAAAAGAAAAGAAAAAAACAAAAGAAAAGAAAAAAAAAAGAAAAAGAAAGTTTCAAACTATATTTTTGTAAAAAACAATAACAGCTAAATTGGTTTGTGTTAATTACCTCAAAATGTGCATCAATGACTCCTTTCTGGACGTGAACAGAGCTTAATTTTTTAATGTAGGATCTGCAATCTGAACTCCTCCTTTCTCTCGCAATTGAATTGCTGATTCAAAAGTCTATATGCCCAAACAACAACATTCATACATGTATTATTGTTTCACATAACTTAGGAATTTTTCTCTTAATCAATATCACAAATTATTTTATATTATGGTATAATTTTTAAGCAATTCATTTTTTTTAATAGAAAGAGGGGAAAATTCTTTTCATCCTGTGGAGATCATGCTATGTATAATAAATTAATAGGGAGACTTAAGTTTCACTTAAATAATGTCTTAGCATTTTAAGAACTTACCAACTTAAAAACCTTCAAGGCTTGAGCTTCTAGCTGAGGATTATTTTTTGGAATTTCATTTGAACCTTTCAAGAAAGGGAACAAATCTTTTACAGCAGGTGCACTCCCTACTAACCTATATTTAACCAAAATATAAAATAAATTTAAAAAAATGGGAGCATATATATAAAGAATGAGTAAACCAAATAAATTTGGAGTAGGATGAAAATAATTAAAGGAATTACAAGGTGAAGAAGTGAACACTATATTCAGGAAAACTTTTTATCAAATCCTCCCATGAGCTTTTGACAAGAGCCTCTTCCTTCTCACTGAAGCCAGCCATTGTTGATCTTTAATATGCTTTGATTATATGTGATATTCAAGAAACTCAGGATGTGAATTGGGTGAAAGAGTAATGATCTATATATAGGACATGAATTGAAGTAGATGTGAAAAGAAATTTTAACATATAATTTAAATAGAATGACATTTGTGTGAATTAATGAACACAAAGAGCCAATATTGGCTTTTTATTGCATGCAATTTTCAAACTTTGGAAATGAGAAGGTAAGTCTTTAAATTATATATTCTCCAAGGTCACAATTCTAGCTGCGTATAATTAGTTATCTATGGGCTAATGATTTTGAAAGCATGGTAGCTGTGAATTAAGAGTAATAAAAGAGAAATATTGGATTTATGATATGATCCAATGGTCCAGCTTTGGAGTAATAATATCTTATGGCTAAATTAAATTAAAAAAATAAAATACACAAACCTCTCCTATTTTGTTTTTGGAAAAACACACAAGAGGATTTGAGCCTTTTGTATGGCTCAGGATTTGTACCTAATGGCAAAGGTAGGACACTGGACATGGGGTCGGGTGCAATTTTTTTTTAAATTAATAATTTAAAAATGATTTAATAATTAAAAATAATTATATATATATATATATATTATAATATTGGGCTTTGAGTTAAACAAGTTGAAGATTTTGGATATGATTTTATAGAAAAAATTAAATAGATTGAATGTTCAAAATATTAAAAAGAGAGGGTGCAACATATGAATAGGGACTGCATAATCTAAAATTTTATATCGATAATATATAATTTTTCCAAGTGAGGAGGCATATGTCCCTCCTTACTTATATGCGGCCACATCACTATTTGTACCTCTTTTGTTACACATGTTATTATCTTTATTGGAAGTGGACTTCTTGTTTCTTGGGCCCATTAGAAGAGTATTCCCTAGTTACCTAATATAATCTAGTTATTAGGATATTTGTAATTTATTTTTTATATCCCTAAATATATGGGATTTTTGTATTTTAGAATTATTTGCTTGATATGATTAAATTCGATCGTTCCTCTAGCATCTATACATGTACTCTGTTTTTAAGTTAATAAACTATAAAATAGAAACACAAATAATAGCTTGATATTAGAGCTACCAGTGGCACGATGAACTATCATTTAGTGTTAAGTTTTCTGGCGTGGGTCTTTGCCACAGATGTGGATTCTTCTTTGTGATCGAATTCGATAGGGGTGGACTCATCGTCTCTGCAAATACACTCGACCGGGGTGGGTGGTCTATTGTCTACCATGAGGGGCTTGTCTAACTTTGCTCTATATCTTGTCTTGCACCATCTCACTGAGCACAACTATCTCTAGTGGTCTTGTAATATGTTGATGATCATACATGGTTGATAAAAGGAACATTACCTGATGTGGGTTCCTCCACCATTGAATCCTACCGACCCCACATATGACAAATAGTGTGTCAAGAATAATCTGGTGACGGTCTGGTTGATTCATTTAATGATTCCAAGTGAGAATTATCTTCTCTCTACCTTTACTAAAGAGATATGGGACTCAGCTAAGACTACCTACTTTGTTAAAGAGAACACAGCAGCTATATTTCAAGTCAAGTGTCAACTATGGCCACTGGTTCAAGGTGATTTCACTGTTACTTAATTTTTTAGTGTATTGAAATGCTTATGGCTGCAAATTGATCTATACTAGGTTTATACATGGTCGTGCACTAAAGATGAGTTATACTACAAGCAACTAGTTGATTGAGAATGCTATTATGAGTTTCTTTTGTGCCTTAAAGGCTCATTTAATGATGCCTGTGGCCGAAATGAGTGTTAAACCACTGTCGACACTAAAAAAGGCCTTCAATATGATTAAATGTGAAGAAAGCCAAAAGGTACTTACTAAATCTCTAATAAGGTCTTCTCATATCTCTATTTCTCCTCTCCCTCAAGAAGTTTGAGCCTTGGTTGTTTGTGGAACACAAGAATATTTTAAAGGGGATAAAGATGGTTAGTGGTGTGATCATTGCAATTAGGAAGTTCGTTGGAAATTACATGGTAAGCCCTTCAACAAAAAACAAAAATCGAGAAGTGATAGTAAAGGCATGATGGTGGGATCATCTATACTAGATAATGGGTCTTTAAGTATAGAGGAACTTTTGGTCCTTTGAAAAATCTTATACAAACATGGTAATCAACTTGCTTTTGCTTTTGGTGAGATGCATATCCCTTATGTTACTTTAGCACAAGCAAGTACTGCCCTTACCCAAGCACTTATTGGTGCTTCTTCTTCTAAAAATTTCTAGATAGTTGACTCTAAGGCTACATATCACATTACAGGTTACAGGGAGTTTTTTTTTTTTTGAATTTAAAGAACATGATGTGGTAAAAGTAGCTAATGGGCATTTTTCTAACGTTATGGGAATAGGCACAGTGATCATTTTTGAAAGAATAATATTAAGAAATGTTTTCTATTTTCCTGACATTAAGTGAAACTTGCTATCTGTGCATAGAATTGTGCATCAAATTAATTGTCTTGTTGTTTTTGACAAATTTGTGTTTTCAAGATTTGGCTTTGGGGGAGAAGATTGGCAATGCTAAGGAGTGGCAAGGACTCTAATATCTTTAAGGAACCCTACCAAAAGCACATATTTCTCATGTTTTTACTTCTACGTCTATGGATGATGTTCAATTTTGGCATTCTAGGTTAGGCCACCCTAGTCTTGGCTACTCACAAGCATTGTTCCCCAATATTAGTAATAAAAATATTGTTGATTTCCATTATGAAACCTGCCACTTTGCTAAACAAACTTACAATTCTTATCCTAGTCATTCTTACAATCCCATTAAGCCATTTACTATCATTCATAGTGATGTATGGGATCCATCTAAAATTGAAACTAATTCTAAAGCTCACTAGTTTGTTTCATTTATTGATGATCATACTCAGTTAACATGGATCTTTCTTATGAGGAATAAGTTTGAAGTATTCTCTATTTTTAAAATT